TTCGGGGCTACGTTAATTGAGGCCAGTTCTAGCCTCATCCTTTGTGGTCGGTTATTCTGTCACGGTAGGTCCAAGGAAGGCAAGGAAGATGAAGGTAATCCACATAAATGCTTTTAACTATAATCCACACGTTACACGAAAGGTAAATACTTAAGGTAAAACGAACACATGTGACACCTAACAATAACCGACAGCAAACTGAACAGACAGGAGACTATAAATAGAGCAGATAATGAGGGGCAAACAGGTGATGAGGATCAACTGATAATGAGAAAAGGAACATGACCAAATAAGGGCACAGAGGGAGAAAACACAACAAACAGTCCATAACTGTGACATTTCGCCCCCCTCCCAGAAGGCGCGACCTCACGCCACAGAGAAAAAGGGTGGGATGGAGGGGGACTTAGGCGGAGGACGGACGACAACCAGAGTCCAGGGTGGAGATGGAGAAAAGAGCCAGGAAGGATCAGACGGAGGGAGGAGTGCAGTCCTGAGGTGGAGGTAGGGGGACGATTGACCAAGGCGGAGCCGGAGGGACGAGGGAGCTAGAAGCCATGGTGGAGCCGCTGGGTCGCAGGACTGAGGCAGAGTCTGGGCCTCAGAGGCTAGAGGCGGAGTCGAGGGATCCTCCAGACTCAACACCAATGGAGATGGGCAGACCTGCAGCGAGCCCACGCCACAGATGGTGAGCAGAGGGGTTGACAGGATCCAGCAGAATGAGCGTTGAGAAAGGGAACAGATCAATGAGAGAAGGCGGGAGAGGGAGGTTGGGTGGGATTTCTTGCAAGAACAATAGAACAGATGGACAAATTTGTAACTCAGTATTCCAGTCTATCAAGTCTCCCAAGTACAGTTCTTGCTCACCCTCAGCAGTGGCGCAGTGGGCGGGGCTTTCCTTTGCCCCCACGATCTCCACTGCTATTTCCGCCGCCGCTTGTGCTGTCGGCTCTCGCACCTGGTCAGACACTTGGGGCTCTGGCTCCGGGGTGATCACCAGCTCAGTCGCTCGTGATTGCGATGTCTCGATGACCACGGCAGGCTCTGGCTCTCGGTCTGCGGTGGGCTCGGGCAGCTCCGCGCTGCGGGGTGTTTGTAGACTGGGCTTTGGGCTAGCGGTCGTGATGGTTGATGACTCTGGGCTGTCGGTACTCACATGTGATGACCCCGGGCTGGGCTCCGCTTCGTCCACGGTGAATGCTGATCCGGCGATCCACAGTGCGAAGTTGATGTAGTTCATAAGCGACCAGCACGGATCAGCTCGGGGCATGACGAAGCGGATCTCGTCTTCCAGCCCGCACCAGAATCCCTCCATTAAGGTGAGGTCATCAAATGTGGCAAGATGGCAGTTGTCCAAAAACTCCAGCACATATTCCTCCAGGTCACGTCCGTCTTGAAAGATGAAGATTGTAGCCCCTGAAGGGCTATGAACACTGCCCTTCGGGGCTACGTTAATTGAGGCCAGTTCTAGCCTCATCCTTTGTGGTCGGTTATTCTGTCATGGTAGGTCCAAGGAAGGCAAGGAAGATCAAGGTAATCCAAATAAATGCTTTTAATTATAATCCACACGTTACACGAAAGGTAAATACTTAAGGTAAAACGAACACATGTGACACCTAACAATAACCGACAGCAAACTGAACAGACAGGAGACTATAAATAGAGCAGATAATGAGGGGCAAACAGGTGATGAGGATCAACTAATAATGAGAAAATGAGAACAGGAACATGACCAAATATGGGCACAGAGGGAGAAAACACAAC